ACCCGCCCGCGTCAGAGCGACGAGAAAAGTCTCATTCTATGGAACGCCTGCTCTTTTGCGAAGGTGCCCCTGTTTCTTTTTACTGCCCCATGTATCAGTTGGCATTAAAATGCAAAACATTAGAAGGCCTCCCTCTCTCTCTCTCTCTCTCCCATATATATATACACGCACACATTTATATATAAACATGGTATTTCAGAACGAATACTGTATTGGACTCAGGAAGTTAAATGGAGTGAGATGTCTCGGCGTATAAAAATTAATATTGATGAGAAGTCAGCTGGGTAAATGTTGACATTAGCTCTGTATCGCTCCTGAGAGCTATTAGGTTTTAATTGGTCTAGATGTAATTACTGTGCTCCAGCGCGCGGTTGTTATGCCTAATCCATCCGCTCTGACAACTTAGTGTGCTTCTGACAGCGTGGTGGAAGCCCCACTATACGGAAGGCTTATCAGTCGAGCTGCGCTGGAGGTGAAACATTTTAGGAAGCAGAATTCCATCACCAACCCCCTAGTGGCATAGATCTGTCTGAATTTTTCTGTCGCCGCTGATGATTGCTTACTGAGAACGTTTTGTTTCTCTTGCACCCGATGCTCCGAGTTTCATATTTGCATCGCATGGTTCAGTAGATAGGTACGAAGTAGCTCCATTCATTCTCTGGAGAGCCAGCTACTGCTAAAGCCTCCGAACAAAAAAAAACAAAACAAAACATGCCTAGCTATCTGATAGGTTCGCGTCATGGACCGCCGTAAAGGCAGTCCATTGTTGTCTTCTCGTCACGAGTCACCTTGAGAAGGGCGATTCAGCCCCAAACGGTTGAGGGCATTGTAGAGGATTTGTGATTGTTCCGCAAGTTTTGAAATCCCAGTATTTTACAGCCTGCTGTCGATTCTTCACAGGTCCATGTGTCCCCGTTAGAAATCGCGCGTGCAGCAGCCGTAGAGTCGCGTACCCGCGCAAGTGAAAGAAGACGTAAGTCGTGTGGCTGCACTCTTGGCACATGTCACGTTCACATGCTCTTCTCTCACTTGTTTTTCATGTTGTGTACTGATTTCACTGTATGTTTGCTTTGCACGATACTTTCATGTTCTGTGTACTTTTGCTGCAACGAATGTTTGAGGTCCACGAACATGGATGGATTTTTTCGGAAGGAAGTTTTTATAGTCATTTCTTGAAACGTATTCTGAGACTTCTTCCTTAAGCATGCCTGTATACTATTATTGCGACGTCTTTCTCGTGTCGTGATCGTTTATCCTAACCATTTAATATACAGGTGTCCCATTTAACTTGACAACTTGAAATAACTCCAAAAATACGCGATGTACGAAAAGTTGAGCTGAGGTCAGTTTTGAAGGGGGAATCATTATATGCTAAAACAGCAACCCCTGCCTCCAGCGGGTGGGGCGGTGGGCAACATTGAACTCTTAAATAAGAACACCCATTTTTTATTTCAGATTCGGATTCTACGGACAGAAATACGTAAGTATTGTCTGAAACTTTTTTCTGATTTGTGATAGGTGACGCTGTAATTGCAAAAATTTGATTTCCGAAGATTTCCGACTGCAATTGGAGTGGTTTTGAGCGTGCTCGATTATTTCTGAGTGGTTAATAAAAAATCAGTATTTTCTACGGAAGTCAATAAACTACTTTTAGCGTAACCCAGGAACAACTACGTGGACGTAGTAGTTTTCTGTTCCCTTCGGAGTGCTGGTTTTAGATGATTCTACAAATACCTCAGCATTTATTTAAAGTAAGTGCTCAAAATGATGGCCCTGAACCTCAATGCATTTATTGATCCGTCCTACAAATGAACAAAAACATCGCATAAACATATCTGGTGTAATCGCGGCATAAGCTTCCCTTATTCGTTGCATCATGTTTTCACGATTAGAAGGTGTTTCTTTATAAACGGCATCTTGTAGGTATCCCCACAAAAAGAAATCTGTGGAGGTAAGGTCTGGTGATCTGGCTGGCCAGTGCACTGGTCCTTCTCTACCGATCCAACGATTATTGTAATCCCGATCCAATACCTCGCGTGCTACTAATGTGTAATGTGCTGGGCAACCATCATGTTGAAACCACATGTTTTGTCGCACTTCCAAACTTACGTCTTCGAACATTCTCGGTAGTTCTTTATCAAGAAGGTTTCGCTACTTGTCACCATTTACATTACCGTCAATAAAGTATGGTCTGATAAGTTTATCGCCAATTTTTCCACACCAAACGTTAACCGACCAAGGTCGCTGATGATTTACTGGACTAATCCAGTGTGGGCTTTCTACACACCAAAAATGTATGTTATGGCGGTTAACTTCACCATGGTTTGTAAATGTCGATTCATCAAAGAATAGTACTTGAGTAAAAAAGTTCGTTTGTATTCTCGAAACTGCCCATTTACAAAACTAGTCGGTTTTGAAAGTCAGTGTCAGTTAATTCCTGATGCAAGGATACATGATACGGATGAAATTGATGTATATTCATTATCCTCCAAACACTCATACGAGGAATCCCTGATTGTTGAGATCTTTCTCGAACACTCGCATGTGGATTATGAGCTAGAGCAGCCAATACTGATATTTGATTATTTTCTCCAGTAGCAGAAACTCCATGTGTTCTTTTCTTCGATTGTTCACTTCCGTCAGTAGAGAATTATTGAACAATTCTAACGAAAGAAGAACGCGATCGTACTCTGTCAGGAAAACGTTGAGCATACAAATTAACAGCAGCGTCGAAATTTCTCCCAGCTTCGCCGTAGATAAAAATAATTTCAATTTCTTCTTGCACATTTACATAATCCATGATGCAACAAGGAGGAATCAGAAAGGTAAATGTTAAATAAATATCGGGTCGCCTCTGAAGTACTGTAGGCACGGACCATGGAGAGACGCTACCAACAAATTGACGTGTGTGCCCTGAGGCCACACTCAATACCTCTTCAGTTACAGTCGGAAATCTTCGAAAATCAAATTTTTGCGATTACAGCTCCACCTATCACAAATCAGAAAAAAATTGAGACAAAACGTATGTATTTTTGTCCGTAGAATCCGAATCTGAAATAAAAATTGGGGTTCCTATTTAAGATTTCAATGTTAGCCCACCGCCCCATCCGCTGGGGGCAGATGGGTGCTGATTTTAGCATACAATGATTCCCCCTTTGAAACTGTTAAGATTTGATCTGGGCTCAATTTTTCGTACATCGCGTATTTTTTGAGTTTTTTCAAGTTAAATGGGACACCTGTATAACTTGACACTTGCCACCGATGTCGCCCGCGCGTTTGGTTGATACATTGTAGGAGTGGCCCAGTATAATACCATCTCTCGCAAAGTGATCCAAAACATGAACGGTACTTTTTCCATTCACGCCTAATGTTCCTACCAGGGTTTTAGTTAGTTTCTTTTCAAGTAATTTGCAGCGTTAATTTGCTGTCTCCTTTTTAGGTCTCTTCTACTTGCCTAGTGAATAATTTCTTCCCCTTCTCAAGGACCTTTATGTTTTAAACTGTTTGTGCTCTGGTTCAGTTTCTTTCAGAAGCTGTACAGTTTTCTCTCATTGTATTCTGTTAATACTGCTCTAAGAAAGTAGGTTGCAGGAAAAAAAATCTTATATATTACTCAATGGACATCAGCTTAAACAGTTGAAAATCCTACAATCTTTCAAAACTCTATGGAAATTACATTTTATCTTATTGATTGTATTTAGATTTACGTGCGTATTTGGAATTCTTTGTTACAGTTACGAATTATGAAGTATTTGTATAATATGATTTTCTACAGAACTTTCATGATGTTAGGTACCTGTTATGAGTATTGTAGTTTTTATTTTGAATTACAATTTTGCGAATATATATTATTTATTTCAGTGAGATAATTTTTTCAGTTTACTCTTTTTTATGTTTTTAAGATATAATAATAATTTTATTTTATGATATGTCGTATTTAAACCATTTTTTCTTTGAAGTTTTAATCAATTTTTAATTACATTGTCATTTGCATGTTCCTTATTTGTTTCACTAATACCGTTTATTTCTAAATTAGAAATATCTCTGTGTATTGCATACTTCATATTATTCCGTGTGTACTGAATGACCCAGAAAAAATGTTAGAAACTTCAAGGGCATATAGAGGAGCCAAATATGATTGCTTGTTGCTAATTAACGGTGGTGAGAAATTTTATGTAGAGATGTTACACACGAGACATATGCCCTTGATTGATAGGCAACCCTTCATGCATTGGCGTTTGACAGGTAGACGAATATTATTAGATGGCGTCAGGTCAGACTTGCCCAACACAAGTGCATGAGAGGTTGCCTAACAAACACGAGCAAATGTCACATGTGTGACTTTGTTCAGAAATTTCCCACCACATGTTCATTGGCAAAAGGACATAAATTTTTACCCTTCTTCATGTCCACTGAAGTTTTTGTCATTTATTCTGATGTGTACGTAAGCTTCCGCGGCTCGAATCCATGAATTCTCGGCTGTCCGGGAGACGCCACGTCGTTGGCTGGGGTGCCGACGTTTCGCCCGACATTTCGCAGGCTTCCTCAGGGTAGTGACACTGCGGCGCTACGCGCCCGTTGATTTAAACAACGTTGGTTTAAATCAACGGGCGCGTAGCGCCGCAGTGTCACTACCCTGAGGAAGCCTGCGAAATGTCGGGCGAAACGTCGGCACCCCAGCCAACGACGCGGCGTCTCCCGGACAGCCGAGAATTCATTTATTCTGAGAGATTCTGTATATGTACTAAACATTGGACACACATTTGTGTTCATAAATATTTGTGAGTTTAATTCAATTATTGATGATCAATTAGGTATTCCGTGTATGCTTGGAATGTAGACTCAGTTGCAGATACTTTTTTCTATCCCATAATTAATTTCATTATATATTTAGATTTTTTGTTATTTTTTGAAACTGGAGTATTTGTTGGTTTTATTTTCTGATTATTTGAAAAAATAAAGAGAAAGAAAGGATTTTGAAAGTAGCTATGATTAGAATAGTTCATTACCATTGTGCTCCCAAAGAAAAAAAGATTACTCTATAGCCTTTTCGTATACATGTTATAACAGTTTTCTTTCACCCACATTGACTTTTGTATCTTGATTGCAGGTTCTTGCTGGCTCAGGTAGTTTGAATTTAAGTACTGAGATTTTATTGCATAGTATCAAAGAATATCCAGGTCTTGCATAAACTTGGCTCCTGGAAATTGTGGCTTCTGCCTATCGATAATTTTTGAGATGATTTTTTGAAACTTTTATGCATATTTCTTCATCTGGCTGATGAAATTGCTTTGTCTTTGAGTACTACATGCAGTATAAGGCTTTAGTGTTGATTTGATATTACATTATCATAACTTCAAAAAACTTTCAAGAATTAGCAAATTATCTGTGTAAGAAATAATTGGAGAGTAAATTTGGAACAAAGGAAATAGTTTGGAACAAATAAATTAAAATATAAAAAGTGCAAACTATAATTCCAAAATAATAATAAAAATGTCTGCTTTAAATTAAAAATTGTTCCAATTTTTTCCTTAGGGCTTTTTTAACTATTATTAAGATTATTCTGGGAAGTCAGTATTTGTGTTGAATCTTAATTTTCGTTTTCAGGTATTCAAATTAGTTCTAGCACTGAACAATACAAAGTTGGAAATTGTAGTTTTGTTGTAGGCATATCTGGAATGTTTAACAAAAGAATTTGTACAGTGCATGAACTATATCTCATTCCGTCTTTGTAGGGAGAGCTGTTGATATCTAGGGCAAGTTCTGCACATGGAGCATACTTATTTTCTTTACAAATTTCAGCTAATGTTGGATCTTTCTTCATCTGGTGAATGATCTTGGCTTACTGTACTCATTGTCCAGTGTTGCTTTTGTGAACTCGGTAACAAGGCACCTGTTCTTGTTATTCTTGTGTATTTCTTGTAAATGAAATTGTAATCCATTGCACTTAAAATCAATAGTTAAGCAAGTATAAAATCACCGTGATATAATAGCACTTTAAATTGCACTACCAATTTGTTCTTTTGTGTACTGTTTCTTGTGAATAGTGGTCAGTTGCACAAAAGAATTGTCAATTTTAGAACTTCTGTAATAGTGTCTTCTAAGGTATTTGTTTCCTTGTAATGTCAGAATAAATAAAACAATTGATTGCATGAGCTATGTAATGAGAAATAAAATAAAATAATGTTATTGAAGTTTCCATCATACTAAATCACAAATAGTAAAGCTTACATTCAACAGGCAATGCTAGTACTGAATATAATTTAAACCTTGCCTTTGAAATTATAGTTATTTATGTCCTACTAGTTGTTTTTAGACCAAGTCATATTTCCTGCCCCGGTGGCACAGATGGCGCAAAGTAAGGGCATATTGTGAGGTAGGCTGAGGATAATATATGTTTTGCTCAGTAATTGTTATTCTTGCGCTCAGCTTTTTACTAGAAATTTGTTGACTTTAACCACCCTTTGAGTGGAAAACTTCTGTATTTTGTCTTTTAATTTGTGCTTGTCATTCTCAAACAATTATCATTCAGTAATTTCAGAAAAATAAGCTCTTAAAACTGAAAATAAGCTTTCTAAACTATTAACTAATGCATATAACACATACATTCATGTAAATTGCTTGTACATAGCTATACTTGCATTGCATAATCAGGAATGGAATCTGCCTTTGCTTGCGATTAGTAGTATTGTAGGTGACTTCCAGTTGCTAATGATTGTTTTATGGGCATGCACTCAAAGTGGATTGTTCTGCTACGTTTATTTAGTCACATGTGCAACATGCATATTCATACGCACAACATGAAGTAGAGTTGCTGCTGAATGAGTACAAGGCGAGTAAACTATGTTGCAGATATCAACACTTGTTACCCACAGAGAGAGGCCACTATGCTCAGAGCGGAGCTTAAGGGCTGTGGCTCGTGTAGGCCAGGCAGTCAACTTGGCTGTGGAAAGATTTGTCACAGTTGGAGAAACCATTGCAGATGACAATCCTGAGATCAAGACAGATATGTATGAAGCATGTAAAGAGGCTCGAGCAGCAGGTATGAGGATCACTGAATAGATTTTAAAATGTGTGTGATGTAAGTTTTTAATTTTTTAAATTTCTTTATTTGAGCTGTTCAGTTAATACTATGTATATACAGTTGTTCAGTGATTGCAGCTGAACAGGTGAGGGTTCGAATCACATGGGGCATGGGGATTATTATCTCTCTCGCCCCTGAACATCCAGAGCAGCTTCTCTTTGCCCAAAGAATATATGAGTTTGGGAACAGTGTCTGAGGACTGGAGTATGAAGTCAAACTTTTCTTTTTAACTCTTTAATATATTGTCTGGGGATTGTTTATTTTGACAATGTTATTTGACATAATGGCTCAGATTAAAACTTAATATCAAAATGTGTAATTATTGATGGGCAGGGGAAAATCCCTTTCTCTTCATACCCTTCATTATTTTCTCCTCTATGTTCAGAAATGGTGTGTTTGATCCTTTTTGAGTTACCGAATTTTCTAGAATTATAGTCTTACGCAGAAGTTGTTTTTGAAGTGACATGGTGTTACTTTGGACTTAAATAATTCTATTTTCTAGAAATGATTCCTTTTTATTTTGAAAATTATTTTTATGCATATCTTTGTAACTTCAATGATTCTTTTAATCTTAATTTCAATTTTAATTAATTGTATTTTTCATTTTAATGTATATTTTAAATTATAACTATTCAAACAGGAGCTGCAATTGAAAAGCTATGTGAGGCGGCTTTGGAAGATTCGTTGGCTGATAGAGGTGCAGTGGTGCGAGCAGCTCGATGTTTGTTGGGCTCTGTTACCCGAGTGCTTCTCCTTGCTGATATTGTAGTGGTGAAGCAACTTTTGCTTGCTAAGGATAAGGTACAAGCTTTTGAGAATATCCATTTTTAAACTTGATATTATCATAAAAACAATTTTATCCTTGTTTATTTTATTATTTATTGTAGTGCTTAATGTTAAGTGACTGCTGATCTAACAATGGAATATAATATTAAGCTCTTTTTAAAGGTGGCTCGAAGTCTTGGAAGACTAGAAAGTGTTACTAATTTCACAGAATTTGTGAAAGCATTCAGTCAATTTGGTGCTGAAATGGTGGAATTAGCTCACTTAACAGGTGATAGGCAGAATGACTTGAAGGATGAGAGAAGACGTGCACAAATGGCAGCTGCTCGGCAGGTTTTGGAACGTTCCACAATGATGCTGTTAACATCATCCAAGGTAATAGTTTTAAGTGTATTTTTACATTTATGTGAGAACATTGAAATGTTGCATTGTCATCAATAAATCATTTTATATTGTTTTTAAATACAGACCATAATAATTAGTACCTATTACTATTATTATAATCCTTACACAACTATGGTATGTTATCTGTAGACTTGTCTTCGACATCCTGATTGCCCCTCTGCACGAGAAAACCGTGATACAGTATTCTGTCAGATGCGACGAGCCATGGACCTTATTCACTATGTGGTAAAAGATGGAGTGTTAGATTCGGCTGCACAATTGAATCAAAGTGGTGGTGGCTCACCAGTTAGCCAACAGACATCAACTGAGGTACTGAGTGTGGGTGTGTCTATGTGTGAATGTGTCTCTCTTTCTCTCTCTCTCAACAATGTTACATGATTAATAATATGTAGTTTTTTTTATTTATTTGTATAGTAATAAGCCATTTACAAGTCTTATTATATTTTTGTAGGAAGACTGGGACGTGAGTCGAACTGTTTCTGGAGCCTTAAAACATTTTGAAGACTTGGTAGAAATGACTCGCCTTACACTTCTTGGTCCAGGATGCAAAGAACGCCTTACAACTGCTTTGGATACAATAGCCGAAAGAACTCAGGATTTTACCGACTCTGCATATACGAGCCATGAACATCGAGAAAATATACTCTTACTTTGTGATCGAGCAAAATTGGAACTTAATCAACTTCTTAGAGTTGGAATAAGCCTGGTTGGTGTATCTATTTATTGATTTAAATTTGATTTATTTGTTTTTAATTGGTATTTTATTTAATTATTGAAATCTTAATTGAGTATTTTATCACTCAGGAACAATGTGAAGGAAGTTCTCCAACAACAGAAATGGAAAACGCGGTATTAGGATTATTACAAGCAACTCATGATCTGAAACAGCAGCTGCAACAGACAACATTAGAACAGGCTGGTGATTTGGCATCTGTTGTAAGGGCTGCTCATGACATGGTTGGAATTATTAGAAATGTTGCATTGGCATCTGACACTGAGCGTTTGGAAGAATATTCGGAACGCTTTAATGAATATATTGAGCATATTTTAGAGGTAAATATTTCTTTCTGAAAATACATTCACAATTCTTACCAATCAAGAGGAAGTGAAAATATATATTTTTTTGTTGTTTCCAGGTATGCAAATTACTGAGGCATATTTCTTCAACTGACTCACTGCAAGTTTCAGCAAAATATACGGAGATAAATCTTAGAATATATGGACCTCAGGTTGTGACAGCTGCTCATACCCTTTCAATGCATCCTACTTCAAAGATCGCTAAAGAGAATCTGGAAGGTATTGTGCTTAAGATGATGTTTTTGAAGAGAAGTGACAGCAGAAAATAAGATTTGCCCCTACGAAAGAAAACTTTGGATTTGGCTACTTTTTTTTTGTTGCAAAAGTGGAAAATATAAATTTAGTGAAAAGAAACCAGGGACTCGAACATAATATTCTTTTTTAGAATTTGTAGTTTTGTTTTATTTCTTCATTCTTTGCTTTCTTCTTGCCTATGTTAATGTTCTTCAGAAAAGTTTTAGTAATTTCAGGGTGATCTAAATGGGGTAAAACTTACATCAATTGGTTTTCATTTTATAGGCAGCGTTTGGCTTGGGAATCCAGTACAAAACAACCAAATGGGTTTCAGGTATGTCCTTAGAAAGAGTTATAAAGATATACTGTTCATTGTATGACTAAAAAATATGATTAATTACCTCAGTTCCTTTTTCAAATCTTGGACATTACAAAGTTGTGCTGTAAATTAATATTATCAACTTACCAAACCACAAAATGTATCTATTGCTAAAAATTCGCCAATTTTCTTACTAATAAAACTTTTTTACACCTTAAGAGGATGACAGAGCAGATTTAGAAATGATAATTTTGTTATTGAATGTTCTTTTAAGTTTATTAAGATTATTATATTGAGATAAATTAATTTAAATTGTAACTTGTTACTTAGTTTTATTTATTTTTGCTTACCAGTTTATTTTTTGTATGTGCTCTTGTTTTCTTGAGATGAGCAGTTCGAGTCCCTGATTCTTGCAGTCTTTAAAGCCTACAATGACTTTTCTTTCGTACTGCAAACAGGAAAACCCATTTAAATAATAATAATAATAATAATAATAATAATAATAGTAATAATAGTAATAATAGTAATAATAATAATAATAATAATAATAATAATAATAATAATAATAATAATAATAATAATAAAGTTAATAATAATAATAAATCAAGTGTACTTATGAAATATCTAAATAAGTATGCTTCTGTAGTATTTGCAGATATGTGGCAGGCATTAGTGTCTGATGTGACCACGGTATCGAAAGAAGCTATAGAACAATGTCAGGGTCGGCAGCCTGATAAACAAGTTTATATGTCTCTTCCAAGGCCTGGGGTAAGAGTTCTTCCAGTTGAATTGTGTGTGAATGATGTTGTTTTTTTTGATACTATTCAGATTTATGGATAACCATTAATATATTAGTCACTTATTGTTTACTTTTAATACTTCTTAATTTTTTCAGAAACACGGAACAACAAGTAAACCTCTGAAACCAGTGCGGCTTGATTCTGAAGTGAGTGTTGTTGTTATTGTTTAACATCATCTTCAAAACTATTAAAATAAAATTGTTTAATAATTGCTTTTGTTATTGTTAAATATTTTTGAACTTAATCTTAAGCAAAATAATTATCATTATAAACAAAAGAGGTAAATATACTTGTTTACTTCCATGTTGGCGTATGTGTAGATTGTATTTGAATTTCATTTCAAAAGACTTATTAATTAGAGATATTGTAATAACTATTTATCCTTAAAAACCTATTTGCCAGTCATATTTGTTAATGATATCTAATGAATATCACAGGAACAAGCTAAAATTGCCAAGAGTGGTTTAGAAATGAAGCTAATCTCATCAGAAATGGATGCAGAAACAGAGAAATGGCAAGAAAGTGGAGCATCGATGGAAGAAAACAATGATATTGTTAAAAGAGCAAAAAATATGTCTTCCATGGCTTTTTCCATGTACCAATTTACTCGAGGAGAGGGAGCTCTGAAAACTACTCAGGACTTATTCACTCAAGCAGAATACTTTGCAGAAGAAGCTAATCGTTTGTACAAAGTTGTGAGGCAATTCTCATATCAGGTAAATTTATTGGAAAATCATTTATTTAAAATTATATTTTTAAGTACTGTTATTGAAGTAGATGATTATGATTTAAAATATGTTAACTTTGCTATTAGATAATTGTGCAGTCATAGCTTCATTTTTGATGTTTTTTAATTTCTTCACCAGAGTTGAAGCTAGAGTATTCAAGATAAATATAGGCTTTTCATTTTATGCTTATAATAACTTGTATATTTCTCAATTACATTTTCTCTTTAATTGTCTTGTTTATATTTTTATCTGTTGCTTTTGGTTTGAATTTTTGCTAGGTTCCTGGAGGCACCCACAAAAAGGAACTGTTGGAAAATTTGGACAGAGTACCAACATATGTTCAACAATTGCAATTTACTGTTAAAAACCCCACTGTTGGCAAAGCTGCGACATTTACCAAAGTGGACAGTGTGATACAAGAAACAAAGAGCTTAATGGATGTAATTTCAAAAGTTGTCACTACTTGTTTTGTGTGTGCTACAAAGGTAGGTATTGTAAAACTACAAAATATTTGGTTTAGAAATCATGCTAAAATGCAAGCAAAGATACTGACATAGGATGTTATAATTTTAGTTCTTAGAGCTTAGGGGAAAGAAGAACAACATTGCACCAGCACTTTAAATCAAATATGAAGAGATAAAATTTCAGTATTTTCTCTATTTCTCTTTGTTTTATTAAATGTTTTAAATACCACCTCTTTTGTTCTCCTGTGACATTTGAAATTCGTCTTCACATTTTTAGAAATATAGAGGCTTTTTTGAGGCAATCACTTTGTGTTGTAATTTTCATTTGGAAAACTTGAAACATTTTAATATGAGCATCTAAAATCTAAAATGTGCTTGCATATTTGGCCCAATGTTCCTTTCAAAATTTAAAAGTAAAAAATTGAGTTCCAGATAATCTGCTATGATATTATATTCATGAAATCAATATTTAATAATGCTCACCTCAGAGTAATACAAAAGTTGGAATTTGATGTTTTTAAAAAATACATGTATGCATCTAATTTTTTTTTTACATTTTTATGAGTTGCTTGATTTGGAGTTACATGAGTCAAAGTCATTTTGGAAAGTTGTTCTAGTTGTTTTAAGGGGAATGACCTTTTCATTGCAGTTTAGTGTGTACATCCCTCTGGGAGTTCAATGTAATTGGCCATGGGCCGATCACCTGTGGCCAGGACATCTTAAGCCACAGCATTTGGTTTATCAGGGAAACCGTGGATACTCTGGATATTCTACATTACCACGATGAAGTGTCAGCTTAAGAATTTTCATTTTTTGTTTGTTTGTTTCGGTGTTTTGCTTGACATGTTACAAAAGCATGACTAACTTCATGCTGATTGCATCTTGATAATATCATATTATATTTGCATTTGGAAACTAAGTGGGTTTTATTTTTGTGTTCCTTGCAATGAATTGTGATGAAAACTACCAATTCGCGCTGATTTTATGTTCATTCAGTCATTTGTTTCATGTGGAGAGTGTAAAGTAGATCTAATGAATTGATGTGAATATGGAGGTCTACCTTATTTTGCCTGAACTATTTGATCTTCTTATTCAGTGCTTGATTTATAAAATTTTAGGTTTTGGAACACTTCCCAAATTAATTATTAATTTAATACATATAGTTATTTATTTATAATTTAATAAATATTCCTGAGGTAATGGAATGCTGTTCCATCTTGTTTCGCCAGAAATCAAGCCCTTCTTGTAATAAATAAATTTGTTTACAAACTATGTTATCAACTCTTACACTGTGTAGAAAGTGTTGAAACTTATAGTTCCACCTTTCTCATTTCTTTTTTAAAAGAGAGAGAATTCTACAATATGGAATGTCCAGAAACATTCTTTCAATGATTTTCTTTTATTGCATTTTATTTTAGTTTGTTAAGATTTTTGTGTTGTTTTCTCTAGGTTTTGTCTAACCAGTAATTTGTTGAAATATTAAAATTATAAAAATAACACTGTGTATGCTTGCAATTGTTGCTACTTATGTTACTAATATTGAATATTATTGAAATTGAATACAGAGAGATTATAATTACACTTACAATTTTCTAAAATTTAGTTGCTTCGACCAGGTGTTACTAATATTGAGTATTATTGAAATTGCATAGTATATGTAGAGAGATGTATATACATTTATAATTTTCTAAAATTAGATGGAATAATTTGTTTTAGATAAATGTGCAAAGTATTAAATGTAAATTGTGTATTTTTTTTTCTTGCTCACTGATTTGGAAATGTATTTTGCAGTACAATTTGGATTTCCGTGGTCTATCTTCCCGTGGCACATCCGGGTCTCCATTCCGAGAGGAAGATGGGAGCGGGGCTGGAGCCGGGGGTGATGGCGGCAAGCTGGGTGGGGCCCCAGGCTCTGACCCCTCCATCTGACAGTTCGGGATGGCCCGAAGGGCCAAGGGCGATGCTCGCCGTACCAGGGTCTCGTTCCTGCTGTTCTGAATGCTGAACAACCCTTGTGCGGCCCAAGGAAATCAGACAGCTCACTCCATCTTATCTGATCTGATCATCCTCTCTACTTATTCAGACTGGACTGATAAACAACGTGCAATGGTACTTAGGATATTCTGTATGATATTAATTTGCTACGAAATATGCATTTGGAAATGATTTTAAAAATGCATTGAAAAATGATGTCTTGGTGCTAATATGCTTGAATGACTATACACTGATTAAAGAGCTTGCGTAGTGTGTTCAGCATAAGTTAAACATTGTGTGAGGTATTGCTCATATATTGCTATGTATGAATCGGCTAGTAAAGAGTGGTACACTTAAATATTGAACTTCTACATGTGTGTATACATATGTACATACACACCTGTTTAAACTTACACTCATACTTTCTTGTGAGAAATATTCCAATTGACAGAAAATAACTGAATGATACACAGTATATATCTTAATTAATTATATCGAATGCTAACTTGTAGCCATGTTTTCTTGAACATGCAGTCTGAATCATGCCAGTAGGCATGTGTTCAGAGGAGGATTCACTGGGCAATTATGATCATGCAATAAAACAAAAGTTGTTCTTAATTGTCTTGTATTGGACAGGAATTATTGCATCAAATTATATTTGTTATGTGTCCTGTTGTTTGTATTAAGCTATGGCATAAAAAGCTGTAGACTGTGGTGTTCTGAAAATCTTACCTGCCTAGTTGTTGACAACTTCATTTTCTTGTAAGTTGATCTCGTGTTGCTCCCTAGTCAATGCCAAAGTACAAGTAATAAAACATATAGTATTGTGTTTACATGTACAGCTGCTGAATGAATCTTGGACACGATGTACCAAATGCATTCATGCAACTACGTTCATGTTCCAGATTTGAGGCTTCCTGAAATAATGTGCACAGAGAAATACTTGTTGAAATACTCATAAGTTATATGTAACTTAGCAGGGTGTTCCTGTGTGGGTGTCAAGAGCTTTGCTACATTCCACTATTGCTGTAATGGAGTGAAGATACTGCACTTATCCTGTACATTGAGAGTAATGTGCTGTATTTGCATATCAGTACCCCAAGTGTCAACATTACAGATAATAATTGTAAGTGTATGAAATGCTAAACTATTTATTGTGCCTGCAAATTATGACATTTTTCATGTGAGGTATCTGATGTTTAGAAATGTGAAATATTTATTTCAAATATAGATGAAATAAAACAGTTTGAACTGCATTGGTAAAAAAAATTGACATATCAGCACGGGATGTCATCTGTAATATCGCACTGAAGTATAGCACTGTTTTGCAGAAGGACAAAAATTTCTGGTTATTGATATCAACATGTTTAGAAATTTATGTAATTTGTTATAAAAGTTCCCTGCAAATCAACCTGAAGTATTCAGTAATTTCTTGTTCACTTCATACAAAGTCAATTTTAATACATGGACATGTAGCAAATAGCTAGTTACCAAAGCGGCAGTTCTTATGAAATACAAAGTTTTTTAAAGAAACCAAGGCTGTTTTGCCTACATGTTATACTACAACTGCCTTCAAATTGCCTCGGTGTGGTTATCAGAATAGAAAATCTGAAATGTAGGTTATTGTCTGAATTGGCAAACCCTAATATAATATTAAACCAAGACTTCTTTTCTCGTCAACTACTGGTGTGTATTAGAACCTTTGAAGTGCAATTTATAGATGACGCCTGAATAGATAGTTTCTTTTTTAAATTGAAATAAAGGAATCAATATAAATATTGTTATTTCAATTATTTAATGTGAGTGAATGGAGACAGATCAGTGCATTCTAAACTACTGAATAATATTTCAGTATGCGAATTAAATGATCAACATTAATAATTGTTGTCGTCATTTATATCGTATGCTCATAAATACCTCAGGGTAGCTTTTGATACAGCAATATCTCCATTCCGTGTGTAATTGTTGCTTTGTTGGTACTATCATGTCATTACTATTGTTCAATAAAGTGAAGATTACACTGTAGAAGGAAGTTTACTTCTCTTGTTTCTAACAATATAGTTGCAGGAACCCTATCACATAGTAGATTTTGTAGAGTGTGAGCCAGTTCCTGTCGTGTTGTTAAATTAAGTGTTAAGAAAAATTTTGAATGTTAAAACTGGAAGGCATGATGTGTTAAATCTTATAGGTTATGAAGAACTTGTTTCTTAGGTCATATAATCCAGAACATCATCTTAAAATGTGATAATTATTTTAGTGACTTTGTGTGTATGTGAATTTTGTTTTTCTTTTCTGTTTACTTCTTTATATTCTTTCCTTTTACTGTTTGTTTTGCGGTACACATTGTATAATTTTGTTTTAAAAAAATTAAATGTTTGATGTTTAAATTGTAGATTGTTAAATTTTCTCCACTGTGGTTGTAGCAATTCTTTGCTTCTAGTTCAGTCTGTTTTCTATAAAACATCTTTCATGCATGACTTGTTGAATGTTGTGTAATCTGGAAATATTGTGTGAATATATTGAGGGAAATTCATGGTTAAAACTCTGTATTGATGAGATGAGGGTCCAAATTGACATTGTATACTTGCCATGGAAAATGGAGTATGTTGTTTTGAAGTTTTGTGTGTAGTTTCACTATTTTGTTTTGTAGAGGATACATTTTTTATGGCCTGGTGATGAAAACAGGCTACAGATGATATTAGTCAGGGTATATATGCAGATAGTCAAAATACAATCTTTATTAGCATTTATGGAAGAATTTTAAGTATACGTTTTTAACATTTCATTTTCTATACTTGCTTATGTTTCTCCTAGATAATCTATACTTTATCTTTATCTTATCTATATCTTTATTACTAGTTTTTCTGTTTTGATTTACGTGGTTCTTGATATATTCCCTGTAAAATGTGACCAGTACCTATCCTTAGTGAACTTGGGAGCAACGTGACTGCTATTTAAGCAATAATTTAGAATATGTGTTCTATTGGAATCATTATACAGTTTCCAATAAAATTACAGTTGTCGTTATTTCCATTTTACTTCAGTGGTTCCTTTCTTGTTTAAATGTACACACCTTTTCTCTGCAACTTTTGTGAGTTAAAAGAATTATACCCTGGTATGTACTTTTTTGTTAATGCATACATTTTGTTTCAAAACAGAATTAACCAGAATAATTATTGTTGAAGATGGTAAATGGTATATTACCATGTTACTATATTTTCTAAAATTGCACGTTAATTTGATATAAGTAATATTAGAAAAAGCAATTTTGATTCTATATACATCCATCTTATAACCTACAAACTAAGTATCTTCCTACAGGAAGTAAAATGAGATGTAAAATATTTGAACCTTTATCTTGTTTGTTTTGATATTCAGAACTTACTGCATAAAAATGAAGTATTTTTCTCTTTAATGTCCATGGATGTAAAATACTTGTATGTCTTCAGTACCTATGATGCAGAGTTTGAATTGATAAGGCTGCTTTTCATTTAATGTAAGAATTATTTTATTTACAGAACTGAAAGATTGCTCAAGGTCAAACAGAAAGAAAATAGGAGTTCACAATTTTGGAATATTGTTTACATTTAGTGTAGTAGGCAGAAACATTAAAAGAATGATTGTTTTCTCCCAGCATTTTAGCAATTTTTAATTTTTTGGATTGCGACTTCAATGTTTCTGTCATAAATATACTAAAAGAATTTTATTAATTTTATCTCAAGGATTCCAAATCTCTTCTCAATGTTTGCAAGGGGGAATAATAAATTGAATTCAGTTCTCATAAAATACTAAATGTTCGTATTTTCATTATATTTAGTATTTCATACTTGACTACACTTTGTGTGCTAAAATTTATGGATTTCTAGGTTATACTCACATCACATTTTAAACTTTGCTGCTCCCCTGGATAAATATTTTTTGTTGTAATGTTCACTTTCCTCAATGATTCTATTAAATTATGATTATTATATTTCCTGATGAAATGAAGAATTCAGTGAACAGTTTGTGAACGAGTAGAGTGTGATTAATTCAAATTTTAACCCTCGAATACTTTCCGCGTAAAATATTTCATTTGTTAATAGGCATTGCTTATCCTCCTACTCCATACAGGAGACAACGCCATACAGGAGGTAGATTTAAATACTATATATTAATGGGACACAACAAAAAATTGTAATATTTGGGGACTTGTTATTATATTGGGAATAGACTGTAGATTGACGATCCTTTTGTAATATGTATCTATGGGGACGCTGGTGAGGTAAAAATAAATAAGATGACGTGAGAGTCGAAAGGGGCCTTGGAGCTGATGGATATGCGAAGCAGATAGTGTCGGTCGAGTCTAAAAGAATGGAAGGATTATTTCTGGTGGAAATTTTGTTATCGGTGAAGTAAGATTGTTAACAGCTACGTGGAATAGTGAGAAGGAAGTTCCCATATTGCCGGTGTCGGGCGTGCGATAGAAATATTAGGTCATCGGAGCGGACAAAATACGAAGAAAGATCTTTGTGGCGACTTCCACCCGCGAAGATGAAGAGCCCGTGAATTGAACTAATGGAGCAAGCAGGGCATAATTTGGAACAAATAAAATCAGAAAACATTGCACTAAAGTTTTTGATTTGCACATTATATTCAAATAAACATTTTGAGATTTCAGGGAACTTGCTCAGAAAGTTTATATGAAAGTAGTAATAAAAATATAATTTTATCTTTGGGTTCATATATAGCCTGCGTGAGCTCTTGCATAATGAAATGGAACACTAGTATTGCAGGAATAAAAATCTGACCTATTGATAATGTGGATTTCATTCTGTCTATGCTAGTTTGTATTGAAGGCCATGCTAAATTGTCTTTAAAGCTTTCACTGTTTGTCTTTTTACTTTCTCGCCTGACTACGTTATTCCAGTGAAGATAAAGTATTGAAATACTGCGGCTGAAATCGGCTATTTTTTGACAGAAATCTTGTAATATCGCGTTTTAGTAACAAAAATGTGGAAAAATCATGTTCCTGTGTGTAGTGAATAACTTTATCTAACAAGTGTAGTCAGAATCCACGTGTTGTGGCGTCGTGAACCCGAAAAATCTCGATGGCAAAACGTCTGTCCGGCCATCCGTTGTGCACAAAGATAGCGCTTAATCCAATCAGTCGATTTTCTCCAAAATTGATACTCTGATCGATCTGAACGGACTCGAAGCCCGGCAAGTTTGAAGCGGATATTTTTATTTTTGGGGTAACTTTAACCAGTGCCGGCGCTAGGCATGAGCAGATCGGGCGATCGCCCGATCGGAGCTTCGCAAGTCAAGGGGCCCGAAAATGGAGATAGTAAAAAATTGAAAAATAAATTTGAACTCGAGAAAATCGATATCGTAATTTTACATGTCGCGGTCTGAAATTTCATAAAATTTTCAATTACATTTTTAACTTAAATTGTTAATTATAGTCATTACTTATAAGCAAAGACGGGATTCAGGGATGGACAACTGTCCCCCCCCCCCCCAGTGTTGAGACAAATTTAAAAAAACATTATTTAGACATTTCATTTCGCGGTTCTTCAAATTTATGTTATAAAATATTTACTTTTTTCTGTATTTTGAGAAAAAATGAATCTATACAGTATTTGAGTAACTGTGTGTGCGGATCAGTCTCACGATTGTCGTGCACCAATCGAAACGTACGAGGTTTCATTTGACGCGTCTCGGTCCCCTGACAGGGAACTAATAATTTGTTTATGGATCCCGCCCGAAGATTCTAGAAAAATTCCAAAAACCTGTTTGAAGGCTGCTATTTTCGTGAATATGCCGGGAATTAAACCAATGCTACACAAATACACTTAGGTAGGCTAGGTTGAATGCGATAAGTAAATCGCCATGGGGCAGATTTCATTTAATTTGCGTCTGTATATAGAAATACATTTGCGAAAACAATGAACTTGTTGAACTTGAAAACCTTCAGGCAAATACAGAGAAAACCAAAGAGTAAAACCAAACTGGGGGCGACAGTCTCCCCAATCTTGGAACCAATTTAAAAATATATATATTTAGACATCTCATTTCACAGATCTTCATATTTATATATAAAATATTAATGTTATTAAGCTGAGCATATACATTAATAAATTGGTGAACTTAAGTTCAGTATTATAAAACACGGTATAATGTTAAGCATTATTGAGAATATCCCTTATTAATAAATCCTCTTTCTATTATATTTCACATTTAAACGTTATTTACTTAGAAATTAAACTGTTTCATGCCTAAATCACGATTCATAACACACAAAGACTCTCAGAAAATAGTGTTTAAGCGTTACTGAACATGAGAAATTTAAAACTTTTTCACTGTTATCTTTTCAGTTTTGAAAAACTGCAAACTTCTTGTACGGATAGTCCTAAATACACTGTTTATTATGACATAAAGTTGATTTGGGGATATTCTTTTGTTTTTTCAACATTGAACTAATGTAAGTTTTGAAATGTCTCTCACACTTGATAGCAAAATTCCAGGAATTTGTAAACACCATTACTGAGTTAAGGTGCTTTAAATGACTTCCAATGAAGTTTTTCGAAAACTCAGAAATTTTCTATGAAAAGGAGCTTCAAATTTAGCATTTACAATAACGCTTAACAATTTTTTTAAAAACTGCTCCAAATTTTTCAATGAAAATTGCCACTTTGGACGAGGTTTTACTTTAGTATTCTTAAAGTAATATTTTGGTTGTACTATTTGGAAAGTGAAAAAATTTTTAAAAAGTACTTTGGGGGACGATAGATGGCAGCTGGCAAAAATATGTGGTAAGTCCGAATAACTTGCTCAAACCAAAGAAAATGGAAAATTAATATGAGAAAATCTGTGCCATTCTATAGCAGTAGTTTTTCAAACATGGTCCTTTTGTACTAGTGATTTTTTTACCCACTTTCTGAACAGTTTATAAAGGTCATATTTTTTTAATAAAGTTTACACAAATGTTGAAGATAAAGTTATATTTGTTTAAAGAAAGCATTCAATTAATTTTTTATTAGCTCATATTATCACCTCTATAAATTCTTTCGATCTTGCCAAAACAGAAAATTGCATTTTAATTAAAATAATTGCATTTTAATTAAAATATATTTTAAAGAATATATCCTACAGTTATGTATAAACATTTATGATCGTAATAAATAAGAAACATTTTCGATACATGATTCATCGATAAAAAGGCATCGTTTAATTTACGGTTCGGATCGTTTAAATAACAATGAGGATCGTCACCTCTGTGCTCAAATAATCTAATTAATAGCATTCAGTAATCAATTAAATGATTAACAAAATTGAAAACAGTGTATATAATTGCAGTACAATTAACTTAAAGCATTAATGTAAACGAATATTTTCGGCTCTCGTCAACTAGCGCCCAAATTTGCCCCCCAATAAAAGATCTGAAATTCCGCATCTGCTTATAAGGTAGAACTCTATGAAATTACAAACGACGCTAGCTAAAGTAGGTTCTTCATATTTATTATTTCATATATTTTACATGTAATTTTATTAAACACTGAATAAACACAATAACTTTTTTGCGTTTTACGCTCACTGCGAAAATAGTATTATTTGATCACTAAATACTTTTACTTAAAATTATTATTTAAAATATATTTCAAAAACCTTTTCTAGCTTAAACGTAATGTTTGCTTTCCCGTTTACGTACGGGAGTATATATACGTAGTATAGGGAAAGTTATGTAATGCTGCGGAAAATCGATTTCGAGATTTCAACGGAAAGGCACGTTTTGGGGGTCCTCTGATACCGAAAATGTGGTTATATTTAAAACTTCCATTTGTGAACACCAATTGCGTCTAAACCCTGCATAGACTTTTTTCCAAATTGTAGAAACCGCTGTCCATCCGGCTCGAGTCGATGCTTTGAGATTTTGGAAACAATTCTTTAAATTTTGGGAGTCCTTTCATGAAGCCTCTCGGACATTTTTACTGAAAGTTTGTTCTTACCGATCAAATGACACAGATTTTTGAAAATTAAAAATGCCCAATTTTTGGGGCGTGGCGTCTCACAATGGAGAAAAAAAAATTATTTGAAGGTAAAATCTCTATATTCAATTTTATTGTTGTAAGAAGACGCCGAAAAAAGTTCAATATTTTCGAAAATTCAAAGTTAACACAAATTAGAACCCATGCCACCTTTGTAAGTGTATTTATGTACTCTATTCTTACAAGAAATTTAAAGAAAAAAATTGGAGCCGTTTTTGAGAAAATTTTGAAAATGTCCGGGGAGCTTTGTGTAAAGTACCCCCAAATTTTAAAGAATGTTTTTACAAATCTCAAAGCTTTGACTGGAGCCAGATGGACAGGGGTTTCTTCAAATTGGAAAAAAAACTACGTATAGTTTAGATCCTAGTGGCGTTTACAGATGGACGGGTGGATGGACGATTGTTTAAAAAAAACACAACTTTTTTGGTTCCAGGGGATCCCAAAACGTATATTTTCATTCAACTTCTTAACAAAACTCGTGAATTTTCTTGTAGCACTATTTTCATTGTTCAGCAGTAGTTTGCTAGACAAATTAACATGTTTCACACTCATTTTATTTTAAAATAGAATATTTACACTTCTATTTACATACATATATTTACAAATTTGTTCTTTCTAGTTTCTGTTGTCACTTTTTTACATTTTACCTGTCTCTAGCTATGCGGTCCAATAAGTTTCCTATTTGATAAAAAAATTCGTCTTGCCACTTTTTTCTTGGCTATCCTATACA